TTCCTCCTGCACATTCGTCCTTCCGTTGGCTCCCCATTCTCACCAGAGCCCGCGCCCGGCTCAGGAGTTTTGTGTGGTCATCTTCCCGCGTCCCACCTCCATCTCCTGTGTCCACCGTTTGGCCACCATCAGACAAGGAGGCGCCGTCCACAGTTTGAGTTCCCTCGGAAGATGTTACTGATGCCAACTGCTTTGCAGACCCTTCCCCAGCCGGGAAAGTCTTTACAGTGGACACTGCTGTTGTAGATGCACCGGCGCCGACCGCATCTTTACTTGTCCTCAACGGTTCCGGTGCCGTCGGCTGAAGATCGCCAAGAATGGGGCGAGAGACAGTTCCCCGCGGAGCTGGTACACCTTTTTCTGGTGAATGGGCAACCCCTGCCAATTCATTCTCACCATCCAGCCTTGAAAGAGAGGGTTTTTTCGTGTTAAGCGCAGCAACCTCCGTGACAGTCAACGGGCGGTTGTACAGCAGGACGTTCGTCACGGTCACATCTTTACTCCCTTCATCAACTGCATCACCTCCGTCGCCTCCAATGTAAAAGTGGGAGATCCCTTTAGAATCTGCAGTTTCCACTGCACATGGCGCATCCCCCACATGCTGACCATCGACGTACGCGGAGCCATGGGTGCCGTTCTGTAGCACAATGGCCACCTGGTATGTTGTACCCGGCTCCCAATCGCGACTGTGCTCCCCAGACTTTGGTCCGTCACCGCACAGTAGCTTCCACTTTCCTTTCTCGTACGACAACCCAAAAGATTTCTTTGGTTCACCATTCATCTTCACACCCATCAAAGGAATGGGGTTAACTCCCTCCGGCGCCTTGTGGATGGACACCGTCGCCACAAGAGTGAAGTTGTAGTTCGCAAAGTGGTACAGCTGATTCTCCTCTTGCTTGCCAACGGGCCACTCCGCCCACGCCCCCTGAAACCTCACGCCCTTCTCTGAATCCACTGTGGCCACTTCTGCCTTTTTCTCCGCCCCACCATCAGTCCCCTTTACTGTGGCGTTCACGCCGAGGTACTCGTCCCTCCACGTGCTCTCAGAGAAGTTGCCGGACAAAAAGCCAACCAGCCCATCCGTGATTTTACCAGCGTCGCAGGCAGTGTCAGTTGGGTTATCCTTCTCAGCACTTAAATTGGGGCACATCTTGGAGACACGTTCGTCCACTTTCTTCCACGTCGCCAGCACCTCCTTCACCCGCTTCAGCTGCGCAGTCAGAAGCACAGACCAAAGACTGCGTGATTTTTCGTCCTCACCGCCCTCCTTCTTCTCGTACAGTGCAATCAACTCCTTATTATCTTCCCCTTCAGCACTTTTGTACAACAGGGAGCTGGCTGCAGCGTCCTCATCGGATACCGACCCAATATCAACAATGTGCGTATTGTCCGTCAGCCAAAGATGAAGTTCACCTTTTTCATTTGCGCTTACCCTCTTTGAATACACTGGCAGAGTAACGAGCATCACATTTTTCTGAACATTCCCAATGCCAAAAGTCGCTGTAGTAAACCCGCTTCGAAAGCCCTTCTCACGTTCCTTTGGATTCACCCAAACACGCGAGAGTGTCCCGAGTGCCTCCGTCCACGAATCCCCCTTGTCACCGGACTCGTATACCCTGCGGCGGCCATCATCACACGCAGTCATCATCATGAGTTTGTCCTTCCACTCCACGACGGAGGGATCACTGCAGCCATCGTCAGACATCCACTTCGACAGCTTCCAACTCTTATTATCCGAGGAGTATATGAGCAGTGAAACAGTCTTTTTCTTTCCGCCCTCCTTCTTTGTGCCTTCCACTGGGAAAAAAAGTGCATTGCCCTCCGTCCCAACACCCGATCCACCGCCGCCAATCAGTCCTTCCAAGGATTGAATTTCTTCGTCGAAAAACGCCCGTGGCACATCCTTAGTATCTTTCCAAAGGATTTTCTTATTACTTTCATCACCACTGACTTCCCCTTTCACCAGAAAAAGTCCCGAGGCTTCAGCTCCGCCCTCCCCAGAACCACCGGCAGCTGTCCCGCTGCATTTTCCAACAAGCATGTAAATCTCACTTCCCTTCACAACCGTTGTTGGTCGGCTCACATCTACTTTATTCTCGC